GGCTTGGAGCGGTGGCTACTTTACAACAAATACATCGTGAGACTCTTGCAGAAGAAGGAGCGGAAGGACTTCCCCCAACTCCAGAGCAGCATTTCCTCAACAACCAAGCCAGTCCCATGACCACAGAATGTTGTGTTGTAGGGGTCTGGAATGAAATTGGGCAAATCAGACTGACTCAAAGGCGGCTACCATTAATGCTAGAACTCTCATGCAGAAGTAAAGAGTTGGGCGATTCCTGGACTGAAGAGACTGATCCTGGAGTTTAAAGTTTTTCCTGAAGAAGGAAAACTCTGGCTTGAGTTGTGTCTAAGACTCAGATATTCTGCTGACTATTAAAGGTTCAAGACTCAGCCAAAGCTCTGGACATCGGAGGCCACATTGCCCGCCAGCACACTGATGACTGCTCCGTCAGCAGGAAGTCATCTAAAATATCCCACAATAGGATTGCCCTATGAAAGCAGCAAGGCTTGTACAGGGGCCGGCACCTTGGTGAACATCCGAGGTGCAGAGGACAGGCCAAGTGGCAGGCCACACACTGGAAGTGCAGAGGATCCACGGCAAAGGATTTGCTGATGTGCTGGGAAGCTGGAAGCATGCAGGTACACAGGTCAGAAAGTCTCTCATGAAGGAAGACTAATAGATTAATACATTTTTTGTTTGGGCAGATGGACAGATTCCTCCCAATCTCAATAGGAAGGAAGACTGTGAACAACGGGTGTACCGAAAAAGTCTTGGTGGACATAGGAGCCCTAAAGAAGTCTAGATTGGGGACAGGACAGGTAGAGGGAGGCTACAAGCTGATCCTCAAGCTTTAACGCATGCGTAGCAGAGCGGAGGGGGAGAAAACACAATGACCGTGAATGGACGCAGCCGGGCAGCCGAAATAGCGCACATCGGACAGACAGCGTGGGACACGAGGAGTCTGCAGTGGATCAGAGACAGGCACCAGCGCTGGAGGGACTGTCAGAACCAGGTGGAAGGAAAAAAAGATGATCGCACCAAGAGGCATCAATTAAGGTAAGTGCTTACAGCAGCAAGGGGGTGGGGGGG